TTATTTTATTTAACTGTTGGAATGAAATTAAATAAAACGCTTTAATTATAGTTATTTTTTAGCCAGCTACTTCATCTGCAAGATATATTAAATCAATCTTCTCTTGACACTAATACAATATTGTTCCACAGCTAAAGATTTTGTTATCCATTTATTAAAAGAATTATTTTTTTAAATCAAATCAAAATTTCGATTTATTGTTTATAAATGCTGATTAATTCTATTTAAAAAGACTTACACACGAATAATTTGTGAAAATAATAAAAATTTAAGTGTAAAAATAAAGTATTCATGATCTCAAACATTAATCCATGAAGATCTGTTAGATTTCTTAAACATTGCAAACAACTTTAAATATATAACTAATTGAACTAATGACATGAAGTTGCGGAAATAACAAAAAAGGTCTACATCTATTTAAATTTTAACTAAAACGTTTCGTTAAAACAACTTTCTAAATTTTTCATCAAATACTAATTCACGTCTATTTTATATATAAATCAATTTTTTCTTAAATTATTGTTAAAATTTTCTGCACATTATGATTGTCTTAATTTAAATAAGTTTCAAACTATATTAGATAACAAATTGTTGATTATTAACTCTTGAACTTAAGACTGAAAATGGTTATTGAATATCTTACAATTCAAACAAGTCGATGGTGAATTTAAATTAGTTTCAGTGATATAGGGTTACAGTCTACTATTTCAAATAATCATTCGGACAAGAAAACTTAAATTCAAGTTAGCAGGATCTTCGAGTATATTATAATTTTTCAAGGTTATAATAAAGTAACAATGAATGAAAAATATAATCTTCGACTCATGTTCATTTATTCTCAAGAATTAAAAGTTTCTTTTACTAGATTCAGAAACAAATATATAGAAAATTTACGAAAAATACCTGAACTACCTGTCTAACACATTTTATATTAAGTAAGAATATTTGAAGGAACATATATGTTTCTGTAAATATTAAATTTGCAGAAGCAATTTAATATTTTACTATAATACTAAATTAATTTATATAATTTGCAGAAGCATGTATGCTCCTGCAAATATTAAATAAATACTTGAAACTTTAATGTAAAATTTTTCGATGCTTTAGATAATCAGAAAATAAAATTGCTATTTTGTAACAAAGCATTTGAAATACTAAAATAATTAAATCTAATACAAATTCTATTTCAAAATTGAAATTCTGTATTAAATTTTAGATAAAAAAATAATAATTAAAAAATATATATTTTACTTTGTGTTTATCACGGATTTAAAGGATAAAGTTAAAAAAAATAGATTTTTATTGATTTTATTTTTTGGAAAAAATCGATCTTGGACATATTAAATATTGTGAAAATTTTATCATAAAAACTTATAAATTATTATCGATTTTTAATTTAAATTTATTTATTTTGTTGTGATATTAATTCAATAAACGAACGACAGGAGGAATTTAAAACAAAATTCAAGTTTTAAAATCGAAAATAATGTCTATAAATAGAAATTACGTTAATAACGTTAAGATATTCGTTAGTCTGCTTCCATTGATAAGATAACACCTACAATTAGTTATTTTTACAGAATATATATCATCATTTATATTTAGTAAACGTAAAATTCATAAAAAGCTATTTTTATTCGGAATATTTATTTCAAATTTAGTATATTTTTATATTTAAAAAAAAGAGTAATGATTTTCGAAGAAAAACTACATTATAAAATAAATATAGTAATTATTATCTACATTCTTTTAAAACACGATTTTAAAACAAATTCTGTTATTTTAAACATAAAAATACTAAATAATAAAATTAACTTTACTATTAAATTAAGATATAAATAAACTCTTTAAATACTTTCACTACATACAATTTAGTTGTTGACGTGTACAATGCATTATTACAATCATTAAAAATAAAAATAAAACCAATTAAAAATACTCCAAAATAATTGTTTTAAATTTTGGAAAGAAAAATTAAAATTAAAATAGATAAAAATAATTTAACAACATATTATAAAACAAGTAGTTTGTTTTTTTATTATATAAGCTATTACCTTGTTTTTATATTAAATTAAAATAATATACAATTGATATAGAATTTCTAAACATACGTTAATTAGAATTCACAACAGAACTATGTTCGTCGTAGTAATAAAATTATTCTGAGAACACTGATATTTATTAATAATAGCATCATCATTAATTATTATTATATAAAAATCAAGCGATGATTTATACTAACAGTATATTGTTATATGAACAAAAAAAAAGAAGTTATGCTAATTAATGGTTCAAATTTTTAAAAAAGTTTCAGATCAATACATTTAAAATCGATTTCGATATCAAAAATTAATTCTTTAAAAATCACAAACAATTTTAGATAAATCATTGTAAACTTATAGCATTAGTTACAAAGAAATCAAGAATGATATCATGTATCTCAGACTAGACTATATCGATCAAAGAATCGACGTTAAGTTACAACTAAAATAACCTCTCTACCTGTACAGGAATGTTATTAAAGAGTTTTATTAGCAACATTCTAGCTTAAAATTAACGATTGATTAACAGATATTATCCATTACATTATATCAAAGTGTAGCAAGTCTACAAACATTGAATAACGTTTTTCCTGCATAGTTCGTGTGTATTGTTTGAATGTGCCATTAAGTTCGATCGGAACATTTTAAGAAATATACGAATAATTCATTATCTTATTTGATTTTAATTTGTATTATAAATAGATTTTTAAAAAACTGTTATCATTTAATAAAATGTAATAATTTGAAATATATTAAAAGTCTCGTATATAGAAAACTCTGAAAGAGAAAAATCATACAAAAACTAGGAAATAGAAATTATAAAAACAAATAATCGATAAAATATGCCTTGTATGCTATTAAATTTTTTGATAAGTTTAATCATTAGAATGTAAACTATTATAATAATTTATATATTAATGATTAAACTTATAATAGTTTACGTGGAAAAAATCTTAAGCATTTGTCCTTAGTAGAAATTGATAGCAGCGATTGAAATCTTTCAGATCGTTTCAAGTATGTCTTTATACACACAAGCACAGACATGTTTTGTTTAGAAAAATAATATAATGTCACATATAATATCTCAAATATCATATGAAAAGAAAACCACAACGAACTAAAATTCAAAAGGTATCGACGTCTAGTTTCTATAGCACCAAATATTTTTCTAAACTTACGAAAGTATACTGATTTTACAGATATTGGATAGTATCCAATGTCGCCATCTAGTTTGCTGTAATTTATTTTTTTATATAGTGTAGTAAAACGTTAATAATTAAAAACTAGGACACCGAATTATTTCTACTTGATTTATATTTAAAAGACTTTTTTTAATACACAGAATTGTATATAAAATATGCATAACATTTGTTATACGAACATTTTATTTCATATGTCGGAAATATTTCCCATAATAGATATTTGATTGCATAAATAACTGTTAACGCACTATCGACTTCAGTAAAAAAGTTAAAACCGGCTCAACAGGAATAGAAATTTCTCCGAATATTTAAAGCATATTATACTTTTAAGTATAGCATTGAAGAAAGGGGAAACTAAATTTGTTATGATTTCTTCTGAAAATCATTCGGCATGGAATGCTGCCAGGATATTTAGGTATACAACAATGAATTCTGAATATAATAAAATACTCCCGTCGACAGCAATAAGTAATTCTTCAAAATTAATTTCCTTTTGATATAGAAATTTGTTTAATTGTAATTATAAATACAAAAAGAAATTCTTAGTGTTAAAATGACAGATTTAAAAAACTTTAATAATAAAATATTTAACGACTAAATTACGTTAAAAATTATTTATGAAATACAATTTCATTATCGATTGAAATTATATATATATATAATTAAAACTACCGTATTCCATTTTAAAAAAGGAAGTGTTTGCGGTATACAATGTATTGCAAAATTAAGAAATGCGTTTCATAATCAATACCAAAACTTAATAAAACAATTATTTCTATGCAAATTTCCGATAGTTTTAGTTCTCGGCGTGAGATCTATGCACTTGACATTAAAATTATCCAAGGGAAAACCTTCCTAAAACGTTGGCAAAATTCCAATTAGGGCATAAAATGCAATGTCAGTAGGTATTTAAACGTATTGCGGCTTTTCAAATGATCAGGATTAAATCTTTTAATTCCTAACTCCATAAACATTGTTACAATCGATTTTTACATTCCAACAAGCATGCGATAGATTCACTCAAAACCAACCTTCCACATCAATCCGAATAACATTAAATCATTTAATAACCATTAAATACTTAAATCAATTTTTAATTATCTCCTCAACAAACACATTTTTTTAAAATTTATTATTAAAACATCGAAATTTCGAAAAAATATCAGAAAAATTATTAATATTTTTTGTTACCGTTTCTTCTACGAAAATTTACTAATTTAGTAACGTAATATCAAAAATAATATTCATATTTTCATCGAAAATTACTAGAATAACGGGAAGAAGAAGAAGCTAGAATCTGTGCGGGTCGAACGACTGAACATTCGATCAATCTTCACGGCAACGAATTCAAAAAGAATAAAAAAAATCCCCTATTCATCACTCTCTCGGTCGAATCAGTAGCGTGTTATAACTTCACGGGGGCCCTGGAAAATTTGAATAAGGGGGGCCCCACGTAGTGTTTACTTTCCGAAAAGGGGTCTGGGGCCCCCACACTCTTTTTAACGCACCAATAGCTCGAACGACGTCGAATTACTCCAAAAAAAAAAAAAAAAATTCTTTAATGGCACCTTCTTCTTCTTCTTCCCGTTATTCTAGATGCATATATTTTACTTTCCTTATTAAATTAATAAAAAAAATTTTTAAAAAAACAAAACAAAAATCTCGTACGAGTTAATTCATCATAAAATAGAAAAATATTTGCATAAATTTAAAAAATAAAAAAATAAAATGGGGGATTTATAAGAGATGAACTTACCTTCTGCCAGTTGTGATCTCCGACGATGGAGCCATTTCCCAAATGTAATTCGTCTAAAGTGGGCCGGCTGATATGAGCGTGTAGAGAAAGTATATTTCTATAATGATCTAAACGCGGTAAAGCTTCTCTTGTATATTGTCTTAAACTTTTAAGATTATGAGTGTCGTACGAATTAGAATAATTCGAATTGTGAGTCAATTGAAGTTGATATGTTCCCTCCTCGTTACGATCGTCTGCTACCGACTGATCTTGATTCTCGACGTCAAAGTCCACTTTAGCTACTTTAAACCTCGAAGGAGGCTTCAAATTATCATCTTTGTTATCCATTTCGATCCAATTCGATTGATAATCATTGGAATCTGTGCTTTTCTCTTCTGACATTATCTCTTTTCGACCAAACGACTACCAAACGCTTCGAAATCTCCATTATATAGGTTTTGTGCTCGAGAGTAAAGGTTGATGTGACGTCACCGGATGCGGGCACGTGATTTCTGAGAACGTTTTTCTTGGCGGGAGAAAGAAACTAATCTGTTTCGATCACATGGTTTGCTTTTTTTTTTATTTATAATTTTTATATTTGATTATACCTTCGAGATT